ATAAAATAATAAAATTTAAAGAAAACAATATTTAAAATATTTAAATAAAATAATATTTAAATAAAATTTAAATAAAAGTAAATTTTCCCATTTTAGCACAATCCATTCTTTTAACCATGTCAAGGCACAAGCCTCATGATAAAGCTTTAGATCCGGGAGACCAAAGCCTCTTCTTGATTTTTTATCTGTCAACACTTGATATTTTATCCTTGATTTTTCCCCTTCCAAATAAATTTTAGAAGGTCTTTTGTCCAGTCTTTGAATTTTTTAATATTCCTAATTATCCGAACTCATGACCTTTCGGTCAGTAGGGATCTGAATGCAGCTGACTCCCAGGCAGCTGCGCCACAGTCATAATAATAATAATAATAATAATAATAATAATAATAATAATAATAATAATATGCTGTAATAATCCTAAAAATATATGTTTCCACCCAGTCCCATTCTCAGCTAGTTATTATTTGTGAGTCGGATGTTTGTGACTAAGGGACTGCCTGTATATATACAATAATAATACAGTAATGCTAATTATATATAATACTACTACATATATTTTTAGCATTACCGTAGTATTATTATATTATATTATATTTATTTATTTATTTATCGCATTTACATACCGCCTTTCTCAGCCAAGGGTGACCCCTCTGAAACCCCCTTGTCCTGGCCCCCGGGTTGAGAAATTCTGTGATATAGTATAACAGATTTGAAAGGGATCCCCAAAGGCCATCCAGTCCAGCCCTGTTCTTAAGTGTGAGTCATTTGCATGTTTGTTGTTTGTAACTCAGGGACAGCCTGCAACTCCATCTTTTGGATCACTGGATGGCATTTCTCCACAGTTTTTATTATGTGTATAGAAGATTCATTATGTGTACAGACAGAAGACAATAGATCTACATAGTGATTTAAATATCCTAAAGGTATCAGATCTTGTCTGATCTTAGGAGCTAAGCAGGGTTAGTCCTGGTTTGTACTTAGATGGGAGACTACTAATAGATATCAAGTGCTGTATTTCAGAGGAAGGAACTGAAGAGACTACCCTATCTAGAAAAGCCTTCTAAGGTTGCCATATGTATCAACATACATATATGGCTACGATGTGCATTCATTGATATTGCTTGACATAGCGTTGCTACCAAGCTGTAGCAGCCACCATTTGGGTTATGGTTATGCTCAAAATGTATTCCTTGTAATAATTTTTGAACACTACTCTCTGGCATTTTGCTAAATGTCCCCGTTTCAAAAGCTTTTCTTCTTGCTTGGACTGAACAGATGGATCAGTGATTAATTGGAATATTGAGCGGATGCAATTATGTTTTGCCTTTTTTAAAGAGCAGCCAAGGCTGTTTTGAAGTAGGAATTTCCCTATATTAACTTTAGTGTGGCAATAGTACTAGGTATAGTAAAAAAAAGCACATCATAAACTGCTGCAGAGATCCTTTTGGGGTGCATCCACATTGCAGAAATAATACAGTTGGACTCCACTTGAACCAGGGCCATGGCTCAACAAGCTCCCACTCCCAGGATCTCATAGCACTGAATCCTGGCAATTAAAGTGGTGTCAGAATGAATTCATTCCACACTGTAGATGCACCCTGAAACATCTTGAATTGGAAGAATCTTTAGAGGGCATCTACACTGTAAAAATGAATGCAGTTTTGATGCCACTTTCAATACTTACTTAGGCGATCCCTCGTAGTCCGAGGATGGTGGTCCTCCAAGTGTAATATCCTGGGAGTGGGTCCATAGGTGACTGTGGAGACCTATTCTTGATCTGCATATTCTCCCACTGTGAGGGCATTGGTTTCCAGGTAGAAGGCAGTCCCGGTCGGGGTTGGCTTGATGCGCCTTCCTCTTGGCACGTTTCTCTCCTTCGCCCTCCATCCGTGCCTCTTCAAATTCTACAGCACTGCTGGTCACAGCTGACCTCCAACTTTCGATACCACAGGTTCGAATCAGGAGAGAGTGCGAATAAGCTCCTTCTGTCAGCTCCAGCTTCCCATGCAGGGACATGAGATAAGCTTTCCATAAGGATGGTAAAACATCAAAACATCCGGGCATCCCTTGGGCAACGTCCTTGCAGACAGCCAATTATCCCACACCAGAAGCGACTTGCAGTTTCTCAAGTCGCTCCTGACACGGAAAAAAAAACACCCCACTTTGACTGGCTTAATGGCATGCATCCATGGGATTTGTAGTTTGGTATGTCTAGTACTATTTGGCATACAAGGCTAAAGACCTTGTAAAACTACAATTCCCAGTATACAAATGCTCTCATTTCCCAATTGCAAGCCCATTTTATTCTGAACTAGCCGTCCCTTGCCACGCGTTGCTGTGGCCCAGTCTGTATATATGTTCTTTGTGTGTGTATATATGTGTGTTTGCGTATATATATATATATATGTGGTTTTGCACATGCGTTGTAATTTTTTAATATATATTTTTGGCTTTTTAAGTCTTTTCTGCTATGTTTTTCAGTGTTTTTATGAGTGATGGTCACTTGTTAGCCCGATACATGCATTGTAATGTGTTTTTAATATATATATTTGGCTTTTTAAGTCTCTTCTGCTGTTTTTCAGTGTTTTTATGAGTGATGGTCACTTGATAGCCCAATACATGCGTTGGACGCTTACTTCTTGGGAGGAGAGCAATGTCCAGTCTCGATAAAATAGTAAAGAGTAGAGACATCAGACTGGCAACAAAGATCCGCCTAGTCAAAGCCATGGTATTCCCTGTAGTCACCTACGGATGTGAGAGCTGGACCTTAGGGAAGGCTGAGCGAAGGGAGATCGATGCTTTTGAGCTGTGGTGTTGGAGGAAAGTGCTGAGAGTGCCTTGGACTGCGAGAAGATCCAACCAGTCCATCCTCCAGGAAATAAAGCCCGACTGCTCACTGGAGGGAAAGATACTAGAGACAAAGTTGACGTACTTTGGCCACATCATGAGGAGACAGGAAAGCCTAGAGAAGACAATTATGCTGGGGAAAGTGGAAGGCAAAAGGAAGAGGGGCCGACCAAGGGCAAGATGGATGGATGGCATCCTTGAAGTGACTGGACTCTGAAGGAGCTGGGGGTGGCCACTGCCGACAGGAAGCTCTGATGTGGGCTGGTCCATGAGGTCACAAAGAGTCAGAAGTGACTGAGCAAATAAACGTGTGTGGTTTTGCGCATGCATTGTGTATTTTTATTTTTTGGCTTTTTAAGTCTCTTCTGCTGTTTTTCAGTGTTTTTTATGAGTGATGGTCACTTGTTGTTGTTAGATGTCTTGTGTCCAAATTTGGTGTCAATTCATCCAGTGGTTTTTGAGTTCTGTTAACCTCACAAACGAACATTACATTTTTATTTATATAGAAGATATAAGATTACCTACTAAAGTCGTTTAAATATAAGAAGGGTCCTTGAATCATTGGGAGCCTTTGTTGTATGGCATGCAGAGGGGAAGACTTTGGCATAGTGAGTTAGTTCTAAACCTCATCCGTTCCAGCCGGATCTACTCGAAGGATGGCTCAGATGTCTGCTATCAAAATGAGAAAGACACTCCACGAATTTGGGCCTCCCTGCAAAATAACAAGGCACGACCCAGATGGGACTCGAACCCACAATCCCCAGCTCCGGAGGCTGATGCCTTATCCATTAGGCCACTGGGTCACCCGGCAAAAACGGCTGAGCGCCGCACTCTAAGCGCCCCGCCCGGATATCCATGGCCACGCCTACTTCCTGTCTGCAATCCAGGCCTTCAGTCCCCTCTCTTAAAATAAGCCACGCCCCTCTGCGTCCTATTCGGTTTAAGGACCGCCCTTTAATGCCGCTCTAGCCCCGCCCACTCACCCAGTCTATTTGCATATAGAACGCCGGAGGGCAAGGAAAGCGTTTCCCACCTTGAGTGCTGTTTTCCTTGTCACGTGTGAATGGAAGAGATACGTGTATATTTTACACGTCCATGCATTGCAAGCTTGAGATTAACCAGGAATGACAGAACAGTGCCTTGCCTGGGTGGCTGATAGCTTACCTTCGTCTTGCCATAGGCTACATCTACACTGCCAAATTAATGCGGTTTGGCACCGCTTTAACTGCTTTGACTCAATGATATTTTTTTAATATAAGGTCTGGGCCTCCTCTGCCAAGCTATTTTTTGCCTCACCAAATTACAAACCTAAAGATTCCAGATTATTGAGCCATGGGGGTTAAAGTAGTATCGAACTGCGTTAATTCTACAGTGCAGATGCATCCCAAGTACTGATTAGGACATCATTTTCATTTTGAACCGTGTTCTAAATATTATATTATGATATTATTATATAATATAATATTCTATCATAATATTATATTATAATATAATAATATATTATTATATTATAATAATATTATAATCTATATTATATTATATTTTATAATATATTATTATTATATTACATAATATTATGATATATATAATAGTATTATGATAGAATAATATTATATTATATTATATTATATTATGATACTATTCTAATATTATGATAATCTATCATACATTTCAAGAACTAACAACAAATCTAAATGACATGATTCAGAGGCCCCTTCCACACAGCTGAATAAAATCCATATTGAACTGGATCATATGGCAGTGTGGACTCAGATAACTCAGTTCAAAGCAGAGCCTGTGGGATTTTCTGCCTTGATGTTCTGGGTTATGCGGCTGTGTGAAAGTATTTGGGCATTGAAGCTTGGTAGCACTCTTTGGCAGAGAAGGTTAAAGAGCGCGTAAAACTACAACTCCCATGGCTCCCGTGCCAGTTAAACGGTCTGAACATGCAGCGTTGCCTTCTGGGAAATGGAGTCTTGAAGGCGGTTGACAATGGTCGACGTTACTCTCAAGGCCTCGAGGGATGCCCCGCCTCCCCCAGCAGCGCGAGGCGGAGGAGTTTCCTTTCCGTCTTTTCAAACTGGCCAATGGCGGCTTTGCTTTGACTCGAACCGGCCAATGAGAGAGCGAAGGCGCTGGAAATTTAAATCGGGGCCGAGCCGCTGCTCCTTCGTCTTCTTCCTCTGGAGCCGCAACGTGTCGGAGGGGACTCTGAGGCCGGGCTGCGAGGCGGGAAGGAGGCGCTGCTGCTGTTGCCAGGTGGGTCGGAAAGACGCTTTCTTCGCCTCCCTCTTTTAATTAAGGGCAATTATTTCCACTAGGAGAGGCTCATTAAGTCTTAGAGAAGGGGAGAAACTGTTAGAACCGAAACTGAAGGTCATATGGACTGTTTTCTCTTTAAATATAGGCTGGCTTGAGGGGAATGTGCCTTTTTCTAGGCCCAAAAGCCCTCCTAGATTTGTTCCTTCGCGTCCAGCTGGTCCACCTCCCTCCTAAATTCCTCTGGACGTTTCCCTCACGCCAGAATATGAAAAAAGCATAGAGATTTGTGAGATAGTTGCCCCCTCTGGCATTAATCTGCCCAAGTGAAGCAGGGGAATATAGCACTGAATGAAACACTGAATAATCACAAGATATCTCAAACCTACACCTGTTGGTAGACTCTATATGTATTGTCGAAGGCTTTCATGGCCGGAATCACTGGGTTGTTGTATGTTTTTTTGGGGTATATGGCCAAGTTCTAGAAGCATTCTCTCCTGATGTTTCACCTACATCTATGGCAAGCATCCTCAGAGGTTGTGAGGTCTCTGACCTGAAACGTCAGGAGAGAATGTCTTTAGAACATGATCATATACACCGAAAAAAACCTGACCTCACAACCTCTGAGGATGCTTGCCATAGATGCAGATGAAACGTCAGGAGAGACTGCCTCTAGAACATGGCCATATACCCCGAAAAAACCTGACCTCACAACCTCTGAGGATGCTTGCCATAGATGCAGACGAAACGTCAGGAGAGAATGCCTCTAGAACATGGTCATATAGCCCGAAAAAAACTGACCTCACAACCTCTGAGGATGCATGCCATAGATGCAGGTGAAACGCCAGGAGAGAATGCCTCAAGAATGTGGCCATATAGCCCGAAAAAACCTGACCTCACAACCTCTGAGGATGCTTGCCATAGATGCAGGTGAAACGTCAGGAGAGAATGCCTCTAGAACATGGCCGTATACCCCGAAAAAAACCTGGCCTCACAACCTCTGAGGATACTTGCCATAGATGCAGGCGAAACATCAGGAGAGGATGCCTCTAGAACATGGCCATATACCCCGAAAAAAACTGACCTCACAACCTCTGAGGATGCTTGCCATAGATGCAGGTGAAACGTCAGGAGAGAATGCCTCTAGAACATGGCCATATAGCCCGAAAAAACCTGACCTCACAACCTCTGAGGATGCTTGCCGTAGATGCAGACGAAACGTCAGGAGAGAATGCCTCTAGAACATGGCCATATACCCCGAAAAAACCTGACCTCACAACCTCTGAGGATGCTTGCCATAGATGCAGGCGAAACGTCAGGAGAGAATGCCTCTAGAACATGGCCATATAGCCCGAATAAACCTGACCTCACAACCTCTGAGGATGCTTGCCATAGATGCAGGCGAAACATCAGGAGAGAATGCCTCTAGAACATGGCCATATAGCCCGAAATAATCCACAACAACCCAGACTTTATATGTGTTAGCTGATGTGTGACTGGAAGTTGCTGCCAACTGTGAGAGAAATAAGGTTGAATACTATGAAAGAAGAACTATGTTTCTACCCCGCCTCTATCTCCCCGAAGAGACTCTGGGCAGCTTACATGGGCCAAACCCAGGCAGAATAGAATTAAAAACAGAACATCAGCAAATATCAAATTAAAAATAGCATGAAACACCATAACAGTAGTAAACAAGCATCAAACAACAGCAGACTAATTTTTGGAGGGGGAAGGAGGCCAGTATGCGAAACTGGTGGTTGTTGATATTATTGTTGTTGTTATTATTATTATTAAAGAGTAAGTGGTTCAGTAAGGTGGATGGAAACGTATAATAGCATAGGAAATCAGGATTAATTCAGTTTAACTTACAAATATGAACAGTAATGTAATATAGGAATTCGGATTAAATAATGATTAAGGTCATGATCCAAGTCATAGGAGTCATCAATCAAATGCATGATAAAACATCCACGTCTTTAATTCCTTGCGGAATGTGGAAAGGGAAGATGTCAGCCTAATCTCCCTGGGGAGGGAGTTCCAGAGACGAGGGGCTACCACCGAAAATGCCCTTTCTCTCGTCCCCACCAACCGTGCCTGAGATGGGTGGGAGCAAGAGAAGAGCATCCCCGGAAGATCTTAAGGACCGTGTGGGCTCATAGGGGAGGATACGGTCGCGCAGATAGGCAGGTCCTGAACCATTTAGAGCAGTAGTTCTCAGCCTGTGAGTCCCCAGGTGTTTTGGCCTACAACTCCCAGAAATCCCAGCCAGTTTACCAACTGTTAGGATTTCTGGGAGTTGAAGGCCAAAACATCTGGGGACCCACAGGTTGAGAACCACTGATTTAGAGCTTTATAGGTAATAACCTGCACCTTCTCACAGGGTCCCCAGATGTTTTGGCCTTCAACTCCCAGAAATCCTAACAGCTGGTAAACTGGCTGGGATTCTTGGGAGTTGTAGGCCAAAACACCTGGGACCCACAGGTTGAGAAGCACTGCAGTAGACTCAAATCAAGGAAAAGTTTCATGAGAACCACCACTCTGCTTAAGTTTCACCAGCAACAGCAAGAGTATCCCTCTGGGCAGCTAAACCAGGAAATCCCAACTGGATGCCCCCCTCCCCCAGGGTCTTCCTCCAGGAGAAAAGCAAGAATGAGCAACTTGGAAGTTTCTGAACACACGCAGAAGTGGATTTGGCAGATCAAAAGACGAGACCTGGTAAAATGGCAATACCGAGGCCCCCTTCCAGACAGGCCCTATATGCCAGGATCAGACCCCAGTTTTTCTGCTTTAGACTAGATTATGAGTCCCCCCTGCCAGTAATTCTGGGATATACAGAAGACCTGGGGTCAGATCCTGGGATATAGGGCCTGTCTGGAAAGGACCTAGAAGAATCCTCCACTTTGTGTGACTGTGGAGCAGAACGAACAACTCCGCACCTGTATGCTTGCCCACAATGTCCTGCCTCATGCACAGAGGAAGTACTGTTTAAAACTGGACAATGTGATTGCTGTTGCCTGTTTTTGGTCCAAAATTATGTAGCTGCTTGTGCTCCCTTTATTTTATAATTTTTATACTTATTTATTTATGCAATGCTTTTGACATGAAATAAACAAATTGTGAGCAGTTTGGTGCTTTTAAGTCTTCACTTGTGTGTAAAAGGGAGAGAGAGAGAGAAAGTTTGGTATTCCCTGTTTGAATTGCTCCAAAATACTCAATTGTCCACATGGATCCCAGCGTCACTGACCATTTATTGCAGTTCAGAGCTAGTTTCAAACTACATTGTTTACAAAGCTCAGTTGGTGCTAGATCTTTGATATGTTTTAAGCATTTGAAAGATTATTTATAATTGATTTGTATATGTTTTTCTAGTTTTAACATTGTGTTTTATTGTTATTGTCTAATTCTGGTATTGAATTATTGCTATAGTTTGTAAGCTGCCCTAAGTCTCCCCTGGGGGGGGGGGGGAGAGAAGGGCAGAGTGGTAAGTACAGTAAGTAAATAAATACAGTAAATAAACTGTAATGGCCAGAGAGCAGAATCCCCCCAAAATCAGTTCTCTGTAGTTTGTGCCATCACCATCCGGGCCTCAAAAGGGTTCCAGGATTCCCTATGGAATCCTCTGCACAGCAGAACCACTGCCTATTTGATCCCCGTTTGAAACAACATTAAATAGTCATTAATAGTGATGCCTTTGCTTCCTTTTTGTTTATTGTACTCAGGCTTTGTTTCATGCACTAAATTATTAAAAGTATCATTATAAAATTATTGGTATATATATAAATCATCAGATTTTGTGTTTAGATTTGGGTCCCATCTCCAAGATAGCACATTATATGATTAGCTTCGCTTTGTTCTATTCCCTCACCAAAATATTTTGGATAAGAAATGACCAGCCTGTATATGAGATCCAGGCTCTCTCACAGCTAAGAAGATATTGGCTTCCTTTAAATAGTCCCTTGGCTCATTCAGTCACACTCCCAGTGGAGTGATTTCCTACTGGTCGCTGCCCTGCATCCTCTCCTGTCTGCTCAGTGAGTTAATTAAGGCTTCTCCTGGAATTTGCTGTGATTACATTTGATTGAACATTGTTTTGGGCTGCTCCCAAAAGTTGAGATGGGATTAGTGAGTTAGCCCATCCAATTGCAAGATTATTATAAGGAAACCTTTATGAAACAAAATTAACAAAAGGATTCCCTGAGGTTTTATTAGATTGAAATGTTTTTAGGTTTGCAAGAATTGTCTTGGTTATCATCCCAGAGACATTTAGCTTCTGAGTTTTAACATCCTAGTATTTGCATTTATTTATTTATTTGGGGTCCCCCCCCCGATTGTTTCACTGCAGTTTTCATAAGAGTCACCAGAACAAGGTATAACAAATCAAATACAGCTTCCCCCCCCCCCCTCAAGAAGCAAGAAAACTGTTAATGATTTTGAAGGCTAAATATTTAAATTATATAATTTATTATCTCCTGTGGAGCTAGCAGCTCAGATTTGTGTACTGTATGTTCTAAATCAGGGGTCCCCAAAATGAAGCCCATGGGCAGGGTCCTGCCCTCCAAGATAATTTACTCAGCCCCAGCCCTTAACTTTAGACTTGGGGTCATCATAAGTCTGAAACAACTTGAAGGAACACAACAACAATCCCAATTAACTTGACTCATCAGCCAAAAGCAGGCCCATATTTTCCATTTAAATACTGGTAAGTTTATGATATTAAAAATCATTCTTCCTTTTAAATACTCTATTGTTCTTTCGTGGGTGTTTTTTTTATGGATTACATTAAGATATGTGCTATGGTCATTTTTTTTCAAGCTATAATCTGTCCCCCCAGTGGTCTAAGGGACCGTGAACTAGCCCTCGGCTTAAAATGTTTGAGGACCTCTGGTATAAATTCTACATCTAAAATGAAATTTTGTTTTCAGAATTATAAATAATTTCTCTACATCAAGCTCAAAATGTCTACCAATGAGAATGCTGGAGGATCAGCTGTTCGCCTGAACAAATTCAAGAATAAAGGAAAGGACTCCAGTGTGAGTAATTTTACAGTTAACTTCAGTTATAGCTCTTGTTTGTGATTAAAAGATGCAGTATGGTTCTAAAATGCTGTGTTTCCATCAGGAAATGAGGCGGCGGCGAGTGGAAGTAAATGTGGAGCTGAGGAAAGCCAGAAAAGATGATCAGATGCTTAAACGAAGAAATGTTGGCACCTTTCTTGATGATGCCACTTCACCTTTACAGGAAAACCGAAGCAATCAAGTAAGGCCCTTCCTCAGAGATTATCTAGCTCCCTCTGTATTATTTAGTCTATTAACAGTTAGGCTGCTGGCTGGGTCATTTATTTTTTATTATAAATTATAACTGGAGTTCTCTGTGCAATATTTTGGTAAATTAAAAACACACAACACTTTGAAAGTAGTTGCAATTAATAAAAATAAACTGCAGTGTAGAACAAAAACCGATTAAAAACCTAGCAGATGTAAAGTGCAAAATCTAAAAGCACAGAAATGAATTCTTGAAATACCAGAGGAGAATAAAAAGGTAGTGAACAGACTATAGTGGAGGTGTTGTCTTTGGGGGTGGCATTTCATAAACTATATGCCACCACAGAAGAAGTCTTGCCTCATTTGTCAGAGGTGTTTTTATTAATTGTGACATCCAACTATATTATACATATGACTTTAATGTTAAGGATTTATGTACTTAAGGTGTGTGTATAATTCATAGCATTTACTAATTCCATTTTTGGGGAGGATATTTAAGAAAATGAGAACCAGACTAGTATATGTTGTAGTTTTTTTCGGGCTATAAGGCAATGTTCTAGAGCAGTGGTTCTCAGCCTGTGGGTCCCCAGATGTTTTGGCCTTCAATTCCCAGAAATCCTAACAGCTGGTAAACTGACTAGGACTTCTGGGAGTTGTAGGCCAAAACACCTGGGGACCCACAGGTTGAGAACCACTGTTCTAGAGGAATTTTCTCCTGACATTTCGCCTGCATCTATGGCAAGCATCCTCAGAGGTTGTGAGGATGCTTGCCATAGATGCAGGTGAAATGTCAGGAGAAAATGCCTCTAGAACATGGCCATATAGCCTGAAAAAACCTACAACAACCCAGTGATTCCGGCCATGAAAGCCTTCGACAATACAGACTAAAGTATTTGTTTGTGTGCTGGACTACGCCTCTAGACTCAAGGATTTGGCTCCCTGGTTGTCTATGGAAACCCCTGGGTGACCTTGGGCAAGTCACACACTCTCAGCCTCAGAGGAAGACAAGAGTTTTTAAAAAACCCTCCAAACAAATCTTGCCAGGTAAATCTGGTGATAGGGATTAGAAATGACATGAAAGTATACCATGATAACAAGCATTCGAAACCATTCGTACTCTGAGGGGCCTGGTGACCTTACAACATGTATTTCAGCGCTGTTTGTCTAAATATATTTTAATTGGCTAGTTTTTATGTTATATTTTAATTTGTTTTTTTATCTGTGTTGTTATTATAACTGCTACAGTCCTATTTTTTTAAATATGTTATATGTAATTTCTGCATTGCTGAAGATTTGTAGCAGTTGTCAAATAAGCTTAATGTAAATACAAATGTAATCTTTTATAGGTTGTTGTCCACTGGTCTGTTGAAGACATTGTTAAAGGTATCAACAGCAGTAATGATGAATTGCAGCTGCAAGCTACACAGGCCGCTAGGTAAGCATATAGAGTTAATACTGTTCTGTAGATTGTGCATATGGCAGGCTGGTGATGGGGGTATCGTATAAGCAAGATGTTGAATATGATTTGAGGTTTCGTACAGTCTAGCACAGGGTTCCTCAAACTAAGGTCTGCGGACCGAATGCGGCCCTCCAAGGTCATTTACCCGGCCCTCACTCAGGGTCAACCTAAGTCTGAAACAACTTGAAAGCACACAATAACAACAAAATCCTATCTCATCAGCCAAAATCAGGCCCACATATTCCATTAAAATACTAAGTTTATATTTTTAAATTGTTTTTAATTTTAATTATTGTATTTTTAAAAATGTTTTTTGCACTATACATAAGATATGTGTAGTGAGCATAGGAATTCATTCATTTTTTAAAAAATTATAATACAGCCCTCCAACAGTTTGAGGGATTGTGACCTGGCCCTCTGTTTAAAAAGTTTGAGGACCCCTAGTCTAGCATATGGAGTGGGTTACTAAAATTCTAATGTAGATCTCTTGGTGCTGAAGAAAACCATTTTCAACCAAATATATTTTACTGTTATATGGGGCATCCTAAATCATACTGAATGTAATTGAAAAATCTTTCAGTTCATTGCCAAATAGATTGGCAATAGCCACTATTTACACATGAAACATGCTGTGCTCAAAATGGATTCATATCTCAAAACTGGAGCTAATTAAAGCTGAGCAGGATATTATAAAAGATCTAAGAATTTTGTCTGTGAAATGTTAATGGATTGACTTCCTTCATTCCTTGTAGGAAACTACTGTCGAAGGAGAAACAGCCCCCTATAGACCAGATAATCAAAGCTGGTGTGATCTCAAAGCTTGTGTCCTTCTTGGGAAGAACAGATTGTAGTCCTATTCAGTTTGAATCGGCTTGGGCGCTGACCAACATTGCCTCTGGCACATCAGAACAAACAAAAGCTGTAGTGGAAAAGGGAGCAATCCCAGCCTTCATTAGTCTGCTTGCTTCTCCCCATATTCACATCAGTGAGCAAGCTGTATGGGCCTTGGGAAATATTGCAGGTATGTTCATAGAACTGATATATGGCAGAGTGCATTCTGTTTGTTCTTTTAAGAAATGTGTATACAAAGTGACTGAATAGTTCATTAGGAACCAAATGAAGTTTAGATTTTCCTGCAGAATTAGGTTGGCATATACCTATCCTTGGAAAAATATCAGGGGTATGAAGAATCAGTTTGCCTACAGGACCAACTTTTGGGGTCTCAGTATATATATATTTAAATTTGAATTCAGTATGTTATATTGTGAGCAGCCTTAGGTCTCATATTTAAAGAAAGGCAGACAAATAAATGATATTAATTGCATGATCCTGTGAAAGTCTTGCATTGGACTAGAATGAAAATTGTGCAAATAAAACGATCCTGATGATGTAGAGTAGATGTTCATATGAGGATTTCTAGTGATTTCATCACTGTGTGACTCCTATAGACAAAGCTAAGATTTCCTTTGAAAGAATTAGGCTGATGGAAGAATGCTTTGTGGGTCACTTTAAGGCTGGAGATATCAGCCACAGGTATTGCATATATTTTCAAAGCTGGGTTGGCACCCTCTGGCTTAGGCTGATTGCATGGATAAATTCTGGGACTGTCAAGCTGTGCCATCTCTTAATATTGATAATTTCCTTGTGCCTATATCTAATTATAAGCAGTGTGGCATGGCTGATGGGTGCCAATAGACACCTTTGGTATACTAATCAGTTGACTTGTGTTGGAAGTGGATCTAGTCAACTTGTGTCCCTGTTCCTCGCTAGGGTTTTCATTCGATGTCTGTGACATGTTATCTCCATGCTCTCCTGTGGTGGTTTTCCTATCTGAAAAACAAATGACTTGATGAACACTTCCTTATGTACATCTGATGACAGCCTTGCCTCAATTTCAGGTGATGGCTGTGGCTACAGGGACTTAGTCATTAAATATGGTGCACTTGACCCACTTTTGGCTCTGCTCGCTGATCCTGATCATTCGTCTATACCTGTAAGTTACTGACTGTTGCTGCAACCATTTTGATGCTGGAAGTGGGTTATGTTTTAGCGGTATTGGTGCCACTAATTAACTTCTATGGTTTGTTATCAGCTTGGCTACTTGCGCAACGTAACCTGGACCCTTTCCAACCTCTGCCGTAACAAGAACCCTTCACCGCCTATAGAAGCCGTTCAGCAGATCCTTCCTACTCTCTTCCAGTTACTGCACCACCATGACCATGAGGTTTTGGCAGATACATGCTGGGCTATTTCTTACTTAACCGATGGCTCAAATGACAGAATTGAAATGGTGGTGAACACTGGAGTGGTGCCGCAATTAGTGAAGCTCTTGGCATGTGGAGAAATTCCAATAGTGGTAAGATGCCTTCAAACACAGATCGGTTGAGTTACGCAGCGTTCTAGGTCCAGCTCCTGAAATGTTCCTCTTCGGAGCAGCAGGTTTCTAGAAGCATAGTTTTGGGTTGGAGTGTTCCTTTAACTATCCATAGAGATTTATTGTGACTCTGTTTATTTAAAAGTTCAGACTTCCTGCTTTAGTCTATCCAGTGTCTGCATGTGCAGCTGGGTTATTTCTCCACCCCTCAAAATGTATGAATACATGTAAAGTACCAGCATGTTTTCTGGGATCCACAAGGGAGGGAATTGAGGGCTGAAAATTAATGATAATACAGTGGGTTTCTTAGAAAAGTGAAGGATGATCTGGAAGCCAAGAATGGGTTTTTCATTGTGTAATGTGGAAAGAGATCTGCTTCCATTGTGAGCACATTGCTTTGCTCTAATGCAGTGGTCCTCAATCTGTGGGTCCCCAGATGTTTTGGCCTTCAACTCCCAGAAAACAGCTGGTAAATTGGCTGGGAGTTATAGGCCAAGACACCTGGGGACCCATAGGATTGAGAACCACTGCTCTAATGTGTCCCTTCCAGTGGATGTAATCGGGAAAGAAACTTGGTCAGCTGGAAGTATGTTTTCATCTTTAGAGAGGATCAGACAACTGAGAAATCTAGCATGATTTGCCTGCATATCTTATTTTAATTGCAGAGCAGTAGAGTGAAGAATATGGTATTTCCCTGGGATAGATAACTTCATATGTATTCGCCATAATAATGCTACAAAGGGATCATTACATGAGTAAATTACGTTCTGCTGTATATCTTCTATTATTATTTATACTTGCTAAATAGCCTAATTTCTTCTCCCAGACTCCATCACTAAGGGCCATAGGAAACATTGTCACAGGGACCGATGAACAAACTCAGGTTGTCATCGATTCCGGAGCCCTTGCTGTTTTCCCCAGCTTACTTACTCATCCCAAAGGCAACATCCAGAAAGAAGCAGCATGGACTATGTCTAACATCACTGCTGGCCGGCAGGACCAGATCCAGAAGGTTGTGGACCATGGACTCGTCCCATATCTAGTTAGGATTTTGGAAAAGGTGAAAAAAATAACAATTTTTGGTCTCTGATGTAAAACCTAGTGAATCTGTAAAATAAAGGAAACAAGCTGTTCACATTTCTGCAGCTCATATATTCATCTGAGATAGGAAAATGTACAGGCAATTTCATCCTTTGGCTTAAAGTGAAATTGTAGTCATTTGTATTTAGATGGAAAACTTGTTGCAATAATACACTATATTGCTTATGTTGCATCTAGATCAGTGATTCCCAATGTTTGGACCTCTAGGTATTTTGAACTTCAGCTCCCACAATTCCTAACAGCTGGTAAGATGGCTGAGACTTCTGGGAGCTGAAGTCCAAAACAGCTGGAGGACCAAAGGTTGGGAATCACTGATTCAGATTTTTTTTTCATGTCCTTGTAGTATGTAAGTGTCAATGTACGTATTTTAAAGTTGCAGGTGATCTTTTCAGTTTTTGAGAGAGTGCAATTATGAAATACATAATCTCTCTGTTTAATTATCTTTTGTTAAAGAATACAAAATTAAATAATTTTTATAAATGTTACCTTCTCCAAGAACATGAAGTATAAAACATATTATCCAGGGTTTCATTCTACCAGGAGTTTCCCCTCTTTCTTACAAGTAGAAAAAGAGGATTTTTTTATTTTTAATTTATTTTTATTTATTTCAAATATTTGTACCCCGCCCTTCTCTACCCCCGAAGGGGGACTCAGGGCGGTGAAGGGGGATTCATTTTTTTGCCATTCTTCCACTTTCTTGAAGGGTTTAAGGCTCTCTTTAAGCATAGCAGTAACCTATGTAACATGATTTTTTGTTCCTGGGTTATAAATGTTATTTCCTAATTGGTTCTATCATAAAAACATGGGAGAAGTTTATTAAACCGAAAAAACCCTCATTTTTGCGGTACACCCTGCAGCAGATTTTGCTATAGTTTTTCAATGAATATCTCATCAGGTCTCAGCCAATTCAATATAATTTGTTTTTGTGACTGACACAACTACTTTCAAAGTAAGTACCGCACAATAAAACAGGAATCACACTTTGAAACCAGGAACAGATTTTTCCCCCCAAATTTTGTTACATAGTGTGCTGACCTGGAAATGTTATTATTTAGAACTATATTAGCTGTACCCACCACGACCTTCCCTCCCTCTTTCCTTCTTTCTTTCCCTCCTTTCTTTGCTTCCTCTTTCCTTCCTTTCCTTATTTCTTTCCTTCTCTCCTTCCTTCCTTCTCTAACTCTTTCCTTCCTTTTTATTTTCCTTCCTCTTTCTCTCCTTTCTTCCTTCTCTACCTTTCCTTCCTTAGCTATTTGCTCCATCCTTCCTTCTCTCTTAACTTCTTTCCTTCCCTCCCTCTTTTTTATGCTTCTTTCCCTCCTTCCTTCGCTCCCTCTTTCCTTCCTTTCCTTTTTTCTGTCCTTCTCTCCTTTCTTCCTTCTCTACCTCTTTCTTTCCTTCCTCCTTTTTCTTTTCCTTCCTCTTTCTCTCCTTTCTTCCTTCTCTACCTCTTTCCTTTGCTTTTTGCTTCCTCCATTCTCTTTCCTTCCTTTCCTTTTTTCTTTCCTTCTCTCCTTTCTTCCTTCTCTACCCCTTTCTTTCCTTTCCCCTTTTTTGTTTCCTTTCCCTCCTTTCTTCCTTCTCTACCTCTTTCCTTTGCTTTTTGCTTCCTTCCTTCTCTCTTTCCTTCCCTCCCTCTTTTTCTCCTTCCTTCCTTCCTTCACTCCCTCTTTCCTTCCCCCTTTTTTGTTTCCTTTCTCTCCTTTCTTCCTTCTCTACTTCTTTCCTTTCTTCCTTCGCTCTTTCTTTCTCTCTTTCCTTCTTTCTTTCCCTCCTATTTCTTTCTTCCTTCCTTTTATTTCTTTCTTTCTCCCCTTCCTTCCCTCCCTTTTTTCTGTATCGTCATTTAGCTTTTTGGGTTTTTTAAGTCTTTGCCATTGTTTTTTTTGGGGGGGGGGCGTTATGAGTGATGGTCACTCATTGGTCTGTTAGGGGTGTAGTGTCCAAATTTCATGTCAAGTCGTCCAGTGGTTTTTGAGTTATGTTAATCCCACAAACGGACATTACATTTTATATAGATTTCTTTCTGCATAAAGCATATTTGTTCTATATTTATTAGAAAACTCCTTAAAAGAGTTGAACAAAAATTCTTAGGAAGTTCTAAAATCACTTCAAAATTTCACATTTTTCTACTTTTAACCCAGGTGTCCAAATTTCCCCCCTTTCTAGGCTATTTCATGCTCGCGCCATAATCATATATATGTTTTTAAAACAGGGGGATTTCAAATCCCAAAAGGAAGCGGCGTGGGCTGTGACCAACTTCACAAGCGGTGGAGCAATTCCCCATATTGTGTACCTTGTTCAGTGTGGAGTAATCGAGCCACTGATGAACCTTCTGACAGTTAAAGACAGTAAAACTATCCTAGTGATTATGGATGGCATTACTAACATCTTCCAGGTAAGTTTGGCAAAAGAAACAGCAACTGAAGTGTCATTTCCAAATTGGACTTTGACATATATTTTCCCTTTAACACTGAGGATTGGGCCCCAATTGCTTTGCGCTTCACCTTACTTCATCTGAATGAAATCTGACTACTAAGTATGAACTGCTTGAAACCAGCAGTATCCCAGGATAGTGAGAAGCCAGTTTTTACAGTTGCTAGAGCGGAGAGCCCAATGCAAAAGTAGACTGGCAAGTGTATCCGTTGAGGTCAGTTGAGGACATCTTCTGTTACTCAATAAGATACTACTACAAAGCTCATTGTCAGTCAAACAGGTGCGTGGAAGGTCTGCCATCATACGTTACTTTTTTTGGACTTGTGTCCAGGCAGTCCCCAAGTTATGAACAAGGTTTGTTCTTAAATTGAATTTGTATGTAAGTCAGAACATGTAATTTTTTTCAATGTAACTCTTTCTCTTATCTAAGCTTAAGATAGCATAGGGAATAGTTAACATCCCTGAGGTGTTTGTTTGCTGCCTGTGCCCCTGTTTAGAAGATTTCACTTTCTTTTCTGTCTCTGTGAGAATCAGATTTTGAAAAATGTGGCTTGTTGTGGAAACAAGGATTGGTGATAATCGCTTCGGTGGAGACACTTTCCCCCCATGATAATAACTCTTTCAGGAGTGAATTTCCCTTCCGAGGAGAAGATTTCTCTCACCTCCTGTTGTCTCATCTCTGTTCCTAAATGAGTCATTCATAAGTGGGATGTTTGTAACTCGGGAGACAGCCTGTGTTGTGTCTTGTGATATAAGTTACAAATGGTGATACACATTATTTATTTATTTCATATATTTATATCCCGCCCTTCTCCCCACAAGGGAGACTCAGCATGGCCTCACATGAGCATCAGAGGATGCTAACAACATAAATACCATAAAAATTACAATTCACAATAAAATCATTTTAAAACATTGTACAACATCATCAGTAAAATTTAACAATACATTAATAGATTAATGTGCCAGTAAAACCAAGCTGAGCCGGGAGAATCCATGTCGCAAAATCAAAATTTCCTTTTTCTATTGCTGCTGGTCTCTCATTGAACGCCTGGCCCCAGAGCCAGGTCTTCAGTTGTCTTCTAAAAGACAGGAGGGAGGTGGCCAACCTGATATCCTTAGGGAGAAAGTTCCACAGATGGGGGGCCACTGCCAAGAAGGTCCTGTCTCTCGTCCCCACCAACCGCGTTTGTGAGAGTGGTGGGATCGAGAGTAGGGCCTCTCCTGATGATCTTAAGCTTAGTGATGGTTCATAGCAGGTTCATTATGATCTCTTGTACAGCTCACAAACTGCTATTACTTGTCATTCCTTTTGTAGAAGCAGCAAATTTCCATAAGGCTCCCTAAGCAGTGTGCAGTATATTTGTAGCCTAACTTAGAATGGCCTATTATTATTATTATTATTATTATTATTATTATTATTATTATTATTATCTTTATACCCCGCTAACATCTCCCGAAGGACTCGGTGCAGCTTACAAAAGGCCAAGGCCCTCGAAAAACAACAGTATAACTCATAGAGCAAAACAATAAACATAAAGCAATAGCAATAAACATTAGACAATAACACCACAACACATTTAAAAACTAAGGCCGGGCCAATTGTAATGAATAAAATTTAAAAAGTGCTGGACATGACAGGTGAAATGGATAGGTTTTTAGAGAGGTGCGGTGTGCAGACAATCTTAAATCTCTAATAAAGTGCATTTGGGACATGATGCTAGGGGTTTCCTATTCTGGAAAGGCTCACAAGAACAGCCACGTCTTCAAGCTCTTCCTAAAGACTGCCAACGTTGGGGGAGAGAGTTCTGATGTCCTTGGGGAGAGAGTTCCAGAGTCGGGGGGCTACCACAGAGAAGGCCCTGTCCCTCGTCCCCACCAAATGCGCTTGCGACGCAGGTGGGATCGTGAGTAGGGCCTCTCCAGATGATCAGAGAGATCGTGTGGGTTCGTACACGGAGATGCGGTCACGCAGATAGGCAGGTCCCAAACCGTTTAGGGCTTTGTAGATAAGCCCCTGCACCTTGAATTGGGACCGGAAAATGAACCTACAGGCCTACCGCAGGGTCTCCTGGTGTACTATCGACAAGTGTAAATGAGGTTAATTTAACCAACGTTTCCATCACTTTCTTCCCATAGGCAGCTGATAAGATAGGGGAGACTGAAAAGCTTGCCCTGATGATTGAAGAGTTTGGCGGTGTAGACAAAATTGAAGCTCTGCAACACCATGAAAATGAGCAGATTTACAAGGCTGCTGCAGTTCTCATCGAGAAATACTTCTGTGGAGAGGTAAGTTCAAATTAGCAAGGCAGCAGTTATGTTATGTTACGGCTGCAGTTAAGTCACACTAAAGATAATGTGACATTGCCTATCTGAGTTTAACAGGGTCCCTCCCTCCCTGGCAGACGTTGTTCTCATTGGCTCTTCAAGGGAGCACAGTAAAAAAGCTGTTGAGCAGTAAAGGTGGTTGGGACAGATGAGTGAACTCCATGCCTAACATGCTTTAAAGCAAATCTTCAGTTAATACTGTGATAAGACTTATGAATATGGTTGTCGCTAACTGGCCCTGACTGTTTGGCCCTAGCTAACTTGACATTATCAGTGCAGGATTTCAGCATTATGGTTTTATTGATGAATTCCTTTCTTTGCAGGAGAAAGAAGATGAGAATATTGTTCCCGAGTCCACATCTGATGGATATGCTTTCCAGATTCAAGATGAAACTGATACCTTTAATTTCTAGTCGATTTTTTTGTTTGGCACCGGACACAACTACCAGTCTGTCTGTCTTGTCTTGTCTGCCCCACTTTTTACACTGCCCTTTTTCTATGTGAAAATGTGATGTAGCACTTTGTTACGACTGAAACTACTTGAACCGTTCACAACAAGAGTCCATGCCCTGTGTGGATTCCTTGTTGTCTTCTGCCTGTGTCTCCTTTTTTTTATTTTGTATTCCTGTAAACTTTTGCATCTTCGAACTGTCCTTCATCGGTTGGATTTTCCTAGATGTAGTCTGTCTGTGTTGTCCTTGAGAGATGAAAGCAGCTTGTGGGCCTTTGAGTGTCTCACAATTGCCTGCTTGATCCATTCACTTCCTGGCAGAACTGAAACACTGCGCAGCCTTGACTTCAAACAAAAGGCCTTCTCTTAGGAGCTCATGGAAGAGTAAGAGGCTACTCTGCTTTTGGGATGAAACTGATTTTGAGATTAATTGATGAAATGTAATAAATTTACCTTGCAAAATGATGCAGTTTGAAGAAATTTTTCTTGCCACCTTATCAATTAAAGCAGGGATCCTCAAACTTTTTAAACAGAGGGACAGGTCACAGTCCCTCAAACTGTTGGAGGGCCGGATTATAATTTGAAAAAAATTTGAATGAATTCCTATGCATACAGCAAATATCTTATTTGTAGTGCAAAAGGCACTTAAAAACAATACAATAATTAAAATGAACTATTTTAACAAATAAACTTACTAGTATTTCAATGGGAAGTGTGGGCCTACTTTTGGCTTATGGGATAGGATTGTTGCTGTTGTTGTTTGCTTTCAAGTCATTTCAGACTTAGGTTGACCCTGAGCGAGTTTGACGATGCTTGAATTAAAGGGTGCCTTGACATAAGGAGATAGGAGGTCCTGTAAGTGAGGTCGGTAATTCATAAGGCAGATGTATAGGAGCAGAAGTTAGTGCCATGCTGTCTGCACAACCACTGTTTTCCAAAACAAGTGGTGGTGCTTCAGTTGTTTTTTTAAGTGTTTTTTTCTATTGTGGGCTGGGGCAATTTATGAAGCAACTTTGGGGACAAAACTGCCTCCCTTAGACCAGTATTTTCACCTAGTCTTTTTCCAGAAATTGGGGGTTAGGGGAAGGCACAGGAATGTCAGGGCTACATGTGAAGTTTCATTAAAACAATTAGATGCTGGTTAAGAGACCCCCCTCACAAAAGAGGCGGTAAACGCCATTACCAGCCTGATATGTAGTGTAGTCCAGGCAAAAACCAAAACCAGTAACACAGTTTAATAATAATAATAATATAATATTAATTATTATAAACTAGTCAAAGGGAGAGAGAGGTTCCATAACTGCTGCATAAGTGGCGGATGAAAAGAACTGAGGCGGTGGCTCCGGCCACCTGCTACTTATACTCGCATGGGGAGAGTGGGTGGGGCTAACTGCCAAAGTTTTTCAAATCTAGAAGGTTCCGAAGCTGTCTGCTCAGGCGCTGAAACTAACGTGCGATTCACAGTTGACCACGATGGGAAACGGAAAAAAACAACAATGGTGGGTTTGGGTGTTCTTTACCACTCACAACTATGTAAATTGCTTTTGGTTGTCCATAGATCTTGAATGAAATTACGTGGTGTCATACATTAATGAGTCTTCAGAAGCTTAAATCGTTGGCCTTAGCCTTGCTTTGGATAAAGTCTAGCTCTGGGAGAGTTTCAGAACTGAGGTTCTTGGTATGTGGGCACAGTAAAGGGAAAAGTGAAATCCATAGACTTAATGGCTAGGGCTGCTAATCCGGGTAGTGCTTGGCATCAGGAATTGCCATAAGAACCCCCATCACCAACTCTTGTCCTTTCAAAAGCCCGTTCTCTACAACAGCACAGTAGCTCCAAGTGGATAAGACTGCAAAAAGGGCAATTCTTGGCACTTTTTGCAATTGCAAGCCCATTCATTATGGGACGAGTCAAGAGTGCCAGTTTATTAATTTATTTACAGTGCAGTTGTAGCAATGCCAGGAACAGGTTTGGGGGGGGGGAGTAGGAGATCCAATTCCAAGCACAATTCAAAGTGCTGGTCTTGACCTATAAAACCCTATACAGCTCCAGTCCAGCGTACATGTCCGAATGTATCTCCTACGTCCCACCGCAGAGCTTAAGATCTTCTGGGGAGGCCCTGCTCTCGGCCCCGCCTTTATCTCAAACACGTTTGGTGGGGACGAGGGACGGCCTTCTCGGTGGTGGCCCCCGCCTGTGGAATTCGCTTCCCAGGGAAATTAGGTCATCATCATCCCTCCTCACCTTTAGAAAGAAGGTAAAAATGTGGTTGTGGAACCAGGCCTTGGGGCAATTAGGTTAAAGGACAATTGATAATGTTTGACTATGGCTTGGAAGTGGATTTGGATAACTTAAGCGGAGTACTCAATAATATATGGCTAGTTAAACAGCCACCAGACTGGTAATAGCTCAATGGAATGTAAGTATACTGTTTTAAATTTTTATGTTTTAATGTTATGTTTTTTATCGGTTATAATTGCTGTTTGTATTTTATGATGCAGCATCGAATTGTTGCCAATTGGAAGCTGCCCTGAGTCCCCCTAGGGGTTGAGAAGGGCAGGGTAAAAATGTTCGAAATAAATAAGAAAATAAATAAACAAGAGCTAAATTAGCTATAGAAATAGTTATGGAGACACTCAACAGGTGTCACCCAGATGTCTTTTAGATGCCATGATTTTAGGTTTTGAATTATATAGGGAAGCAGTTCATAAACAGAGGCTGGATGGCCATCTTTCAGGGGTGATTTGAATGCAATATTCCTGCTTCTTGGACTGGATGGCCTATGAGGTCTCTTCCAACTCTTTGATTCTATGATTTTTTAGATATGTATTTAAGGCCTGCATAGCCTTAATTTTTTTCTCCTTGGATGCGTATATGTTTCTAACAGACATCCGCTCTCCAGGAAATATTCTGAATAGGGAATGAAAACCTTGTACATTGGAATGCATCATCGCTCTTTCCTTTTCACTAAGAGAAAGAAATCTGGTACAGAACCCAAGGCTTACTATGGCAACCCTGTATATTTCCACGGCTGTCTTTTTCCAAGTGGGGACCCCTCCCTTTCTTTACAAAAACAACTTTGCATGTATTTAATGCTACTAAAGTTTCCTGCTATAGAACATCTTTGTTAATTGGCTAATTCAAACCGAACACTGCATAGAGACATAAGGAGATAAAGTCTTTTTTAACTCTCAGCACTCCATATGTGTATGGCTCCAGTGTGGTATGTGGAAACTTAAGATTGAGCTTGGTTCCCAGCTTCCATGCATGAGTGACATCGGTTGTCTTTTGATGGCATATCAGCAATGACCTAAATACCATTAAAGGGGCCCCACTTGAATCTCTGTTATTTACATGGTGAACAGTTGACTCAAGTTTGTCTCCATTGGGATTGGTAATTTAGAACAAACACAAATAAATTAATATACCTAAAACACTCCAGAATCTTAAACAACTACTCTTTGTGGATTTGGAAATCAGAGATCCAATTTGCCATGAGTCAGAAGACAGCTTGCCAACAGTGAACATGTGAACTTAGAATTGTAACTGCTAGTTGCTACATTATCTATCTGGAATGTGAATATATGTGTAGAACCAGGGGTGTTGATGGAAATAATAGGACTTTGCCTAGTTTTGTTTTTTTTTCAAGTGTGCTGATTCCTATGTGCAGAACAGGGAAGGAGAGGGCCGCCCTCTTGTGGCTGCATGTGGCATTTCAGGTAGGCCATGAAGGGCCTTGCTTTCTCTCTGAGTACGCCCTCTGGTAGCCAATTTGTGTTTTGCCACCGGCCACATACCACATTTCTACTGCAATCAGATACTCTTGTGTGAGCTGCTTTAGATGTGCACAGGTTTTGGCTGTGCTCTTCTGTGAGGTGGAGATAGTGTGACATGCCCATTGCTATGGGGTGATCATTATGCACATGGACCATAATGATGGTTCTCCTTGCAAAGGCATTCGACACAGTGAATCGCAGCGCTCTCTGGACCATTCTCCAAAAAATTGGGTGCCCTGACAAATTTGTGAACATCCTGCAGCTCTTCCATGATGACATGATGGCAACAGTCTTGGACAGCAATGGCTCCCAAAGTGACCCATTTAAGGTAGAATCAGGTGTCAAACTGGTATGTGTTATTGCCCCAACCTTATTTTCCATCTTCATCGCTATGATACTTCACCTTGTTGATGGGAAGCTTCCCACCAGAGTGGAAATCGTCTATCGGACAGATGGCATGCTATTTAACCTCAGCAGACTGAAAGCCAAAACCAAGGTTACAACAACATCTGTTATAGAACTCCAGTATGCTGATGACAACGTCGTCGGTGCACATTCAGAAGAAGACCTACAAGCCACTCTAAACACCTTCGCAGAAGCATATGTGAAGCTCGGCCTGTCATTAAACATCGAGAAAACCAAAGTGCTGTTCCAGCAGTCACCAGCAACCCCTCTCCAATGCCAGAAATACAACTTAATGGTATAACATTAGAAAATGTTGACCATTTCCGTTACCTTGGCAGCCACCTCTCCACCAAAGTCAACATTGACACTGAAATTCAACACCGCCTGAGCTCTGCGAGTGCAGCATTTTTCCGAATGAAGCAGAGAGTGTCTGAGGACCAGGACATCCGTAGGAATACCAAGGTGCTTGTTTATAAAGCCATTGTCCTCCCAACCCTGCTATATGCCTGTGAGACGTGGACAGTCTACAGACGTCACATGCAACTCCTGGGAAATGCCTTTGCAGGTGAAAGCTCATTCCACAAGAGCAGTGGCAACATTAACTGCCCTCATGAGGGGAGTACCGCTGGATGTAGTGTGCAGAGCTGCAACCTGGTCTACACCATTGACCTTTGTGACACATTACAAGTTGGATGTGACGTCCAAGAGAGATGCAGCCTTCAGCCGGCAGTCCTCTTTTCGGCTGTGGCATTTTCCCTACGTGAGTGTGCTGTGAATACGCACTATTGGTACTTCTGCGCATGCGCAGCTTTGCTCCGGAATCTTCAGTTAAAATTTTAAAAGGACTGACGGTTGGCCCCGCGCACGCTCCCCAGTACATTATAAATAGGACGCGGCTGGTCCAACCGCCTCCAGATCTCTTCATCCGCGCTAACAGCAGTAGCTCGGAAGTCTTCTTTCTAAACTATTCAACGAAATGGCAAATACTAAAGGTTTTAAGCGTTGCTCTTCCTGCCAGGGCAACTTCCCTGATAATGATGCACATTCTCTGTGCATTGCTTGTCTGGGTGAAGGACACTTGTCGCAGGCATGTTCAATCTGCCAGTCCTTCACCCCGAAGACACGGAAAAACCGGGAGATTCGTCTGAAAGCTGCCCTTTATGAACGGGCACTTCTCCCTGAACCTCAACAACATAGAGAGAAAGTCTTACCTGAGTTGGCGATCCTGCATGCGGCCTTGAAAAAGCAGAAGTCCAAAAAGGCCGTTCAGAGTAAGGCGGCCTCGG